TAATAGTGATTTATTATTATTATTATTATTATTATTATTATTATTATTGTTATTGCTATTTTGAGACAGGGTCTTAGTATTCAGGCTGATTTCAAAATAGCTGAAAATGACCTTAAACTTTGGTGTTCTGCCTCGCATGTGCTCAGCAGCACCATGTCTGGTTTATGTGGTGCTGGGGATGGAACTATGGCTTTGTGTATTCTGGGAAGCACCTGCTAGTTGAGCTAACACATCTTATTCAGAAAATTTATAAAGTTAGGGTTCTAGGTTTTTTTTTTAACTTACCTTGCAACATCATATTAATTAATTCCTGCTTTTTTTTTTTTTTTTTTTTTTTTTTTTTTTTTTTCAGGGTCTCCCTGTAGTCCCAGCTGTCCTGGAACTCCCTATGTAGACCAGGAACTCACAGAGATCCGCCTGCCTCTGCCTCCCAAGTGCTGGGACTAAAGGCGTGCGCCACCACACCCAGCTAACATTAATTTTTATGTAGGTCTAGGAAGATGTAACATTGAGATTAATACAGAAGATTAGATAGTGCATAACTAGCAAATTTGCAATTGACAGTGATGTCTTAGGCACCCTGATCAGCCTTGAGGAGAGTAGATGATGCTACCTGTCACTGTTTCCATCATTGCCCTGGAGTGAGGCAAGGTGATATGAAGAGGAACCCACTGCCCCACCCCATTCTCCCATGCCCCCCAGATCTCTCCTCTGGAATCAAAAACCGGTCCAAGAATGTGGTCTGTTAGGACCAATTGCTCAGTGTTGGAATAGATATTACTCTCCTGTGATGGTGGTCACTGCCCTTTTGTCGAGTTTAAGTTGTCATGGAAGATGGATGAGAAGTCACTGTTTCTGCTGTGGTTGGACAACCATACCTGTCCCAAATGTTTTGGAGAAAAGGAGGCATGGAGATGATTGTAATCTAAGGAGAGATGCAAAACTGCCACCACTTTGGATTTTAGAGTGATCATTTGTTATCAGTTAAGATAACTGTTCTTTAAGGTAATCTGAACACTCTGATTTACCAAATTCAGTTTATATCTTCTCCAGATTGCTCTTGAGGGTGCCTTTGGCAATTAGTAGTAATGTCTATACTTAATAAATTATTTATTTTGAATTTACATTCATTAGATAGTACTGTAATTACATTATGATAAGGACGTTATGTCTATTATTTAACAACTACAGGTGCTGTTTGAAACTGTGGAGTCAGCCTCATGAGAGCAAAGTTCCCCCAACCCCAGCATTTTTTATTTTGAGACATGGTTTCACCCAGTTGCCTAGACTGGTCTTGAGTTTGCTCTGTAGCTCAGGCAGGAAAACTTGGGATTCTCCTGCCTGAGCTTCCAGAGTAGCTGGATCACAAGCCTGTGATACCAGGCCTGGCAAGAAAGCCTTTTTCTAAGTGCTAAGGCAGTTGTAAAATACGGTCATCCAAAGCTGGCACTGTTCACTGTTGATGTAAATGCATCCTGGTGTGCTTTTCTCATTAGATGTCAATGTCTTGTGCCTTTTCAATTTCAGGTACAAGCAGTGGTACCATGGCATGTTGGGACATGAGGTTCCAGTTGCCAATTTCCAGTCACTGTCATCCTTCCAGAGCTCGAATCAGGCGCCTCTCAATGCACCCCTTGTATCAGTCTTGGGTAATCGCAGGTAAGATGCAGGGTTGACTTTCCTATATTGGGGAGAGGGTCAAGGGGGTAAAGTCTTTTTGCTAACACTCATTTTTAGTCTTTATTTTACACATGAACCAAATTCTGTTTTGATAATTCAAGTTCCCCACCATCATATTTAAAGTTCAGAACTAATGCCTTCCACCCTTACTGCCACTCTCCATGCCTTCTACCGCCGTATTTCGTTTTATTTCTGTTCACTTTCCTGTGTCCCTTGTTTTTGTTAACTGCCACCATCTTCCTAGAAACATAAGGAAGAAACTTGGACTATTTCTTCTCAGTTGCCATTTCTTATTAATGTGCGTCTGCGTCTCTCCCAAGTGACCCTTCCTTTCCTCCATTGGGCACTCACCTTTTGTTGGTATGAGTGCTTGGGCAAGCTATTTGGGCATATTTTTTATATTAAATTTCCTAATCTATAAAATATGACTGAAAACACCTTATACAGTTTGAGAAGTTAAGGTGGAACATGGAACACAGTCCGGCACACGTCATGTTTGCTCTTGTTATTTTTAAGTTTCCTCACTGGTCCTCTTGCTTCTGAGAAGCCTCTGTGTGGTCCTTCTCATTCACACACTGCTCCTGTCAGAGTCACCAAGTTGCCAGGTCTGATAACTGGTACCGAGCTTCCTGTCTGACTTGCCATTTCATTAGTTTGTGCCATCTCACCTTTTTCAGATACTCTTCTTTTACCTGGTTCCAAAGTCATTTCTCCTAGTTCTCTCTCTTCTTGGTCTACTAGCTCCTTGTCGTCTTCCTGACTTTTAAGTTGTGGCCTGCCTCAGGGCTCAGTCTTTGGTCTTACCCTCTTCTCCTTCTGTACCTCTGTGTGAGATCTCATCCAGTCTCATGCTGTAAATAACAAACGTATTTGATCTGTATACTTAAAATCTTCCCTGAGATATTCAGTTGTTGTTACAAAATGTGGCACGTCCAGACTGAGCCCTTGCCTACCTTCCCACTGAGTGCCTTCATCTCCACCTCCTAGCCGAAGACATAGGCTCTTCCTATGGCAGCTGTTCAGTAGACGGAAGCTCTTTTACCAAGTGCCAACACAGATGTCTGATGCTGTCCTGGGCTCTTCTTTTTCTCATCCCACCTCCAGTCCAGCAACCAATCCTATAAATTCTGTTGTCATATATGTGCAGAATTTGACCACTTTTTGTCCATCACTGTCTTCCTAGTCCCTCCATCCTCTCACCCCCTCTCAGTGCAGTGTCTTCTTAACTCTCTGCTTCTGATGTCTCTTAAGAGTGTTTTATTCCAGTGACTTCTCACTGGTCCTTAACATCAGTTCCAGGGGATCTGATGCCCTTTTCTGACCACCACAGGCATTACATGCACATGGGTGCTCTTACATGCAGCCAAAACACTCATACACATAAAAATAAAAATAAAATCTCTTAAGAGAATGAGTATCAGTATTTCTTGCAGGATGGAAAATAAATGAACTAGACGCAAGCTGGACTGGCATTAGCTGCCAGAAGGTGGAAGCTGGGCAGGTTCCTCCTTTTCTGACAATTCTGGCCATTGTCTCTTTCAGCTGTTCAGGGCAACAATGAAGTGTCCATGTGGGACATGGAGACTGGTGACAGAAGACTGACTCTCTGGGCCAGCAGCGCACCACCACTTTCTGAGTTACAGGTTTGTCTACTGCTTATACTGTAAAGGACAGAATTATTATCATCCTAGCACATTCAGGTATTTTGGCAAGCATGTTCTCTGTTGGGTTTTGGAGCTGTGTCTAAATTTGGGTTTGTTTGTTTTTGTTGTTGTTGTTTTTGCAACTATGCTGACATCCTGAAATAGTTAACAACAGAGTTGGCATGAACCAGGCCCAGAATGCCAACCAGCTATTGGCAGCTGTTCTCCCAGCACTCTAACACTTGCCTAGGTACAAGGAAACCTAGACAGCTGTCTACAGCTGGAATAAATTTGGGTTTTTAATGACATCAAGTATCACGGCCGCTGCTGCCCAGCGTTTCTGAATTCCTTTAGCTTGCTAGTGTCTACTTCATTGAACACTTTGGTTCTTAACTCCATAAAGCTTGCAGTTTCTCTTTGAAACCCCTGTAGATCTAAGTTAATTAGGCCAAGTCTGGATTGACATTTAGGTTATTAATTACTAGGATATAGCCTTCTTAAATATACACAGGGTCCTGATGTCCAGTGGTCTTAGGATTTTTTTTTTTTTTGTCTTTACCTGGCAGGATGACAGTACTATGTATTCACTACAAAATGTACTTTGAATTTTGATCTTTGTTCAGGCTGGTGATACATGATATGATACTCTCTTGTGAGGCTGGGCCATGCTAGTGAGCCATAGCTCCCAGTTAGATTATAAGGCCTCCTAATTACTTTCTATTGCTGTGATAAAGCACCGACTAAAAGCAAGTTGGGGAGGAAAGATCATAATCCATCACTGAGAGAAGTCAGGGCAGGAACTCAAGGCAGAACAGGAGCCTGGAGGCAGGAGCTGAAGCAGGAACCATGGAGGATGCTATAACTGGCTTGCTCCTCTGGCCTATGCTTAGCCTGCTTTCTGATGCAACTCAGGACCACATGCCCAGGGGTGGTACCACCCATCATGGCCTGAGCCCTCCTAAACTGCTCAACAATCAAGAAAATGCCTCACAGATATGTCCACAGGTCATATAACAGAGGCGCTTCCCCAGCTGAGGTTCCCTCTACCCAGGTGTGTCACGTTGACAACTAAAGCTATCCACAGGGTAAACAACTAATTTTCTAGATTAGGCGCATTAAATGTATTTTAAACTTCAGATGCATTTATTATTGGGATATAACCCCAATGTAAGCTGAGGAGCACCTGTACTTTGTGTGGGGGTAATGCTAGGGATATGCTATATACTTATGTTTTCACTAGTCACATTTTCAAAAGCACCTTATTAGAGCAAAAGATAGGAATGATTTGCTTCCCCTTACTCCTTTAGTTGGGGCCTCAGTAAAGGTAGTCTCAAAGACGATCTTAAGGAACCTGAAATAACTATTTTTATGCTTTTTTTTTTTTTTTGAGAATGGGTCTTGATATGTAGCCCAGGCTGACTCTGAACTTTCAGTCCTCTGGCCTCTTCTCTCCTGAGGTTTGTTTTTTCCTGGGGATGGGCAGGACTACTGAAGGTTGAACTCAGGGTCTTGCATGTGCTATGTCAGTGCTCTACCCTGAGCTACATCCCCAGCTCTTCAAAGCAACTGTATTTTAAAGTCTCCCCAAAGGAAAAGATATGACTTGTCTCACAGTCTCTCTTTAGGCTGCCAGTTGTCTATGAAGCTACCAACAGTTACTCTGCTCCAGAAGTGGTCTTATCATTTATGGGCTATGCCTTTGTCTTTTATAAAACTCAGTTTTTTTTCCTTTGAAGCCTTCTCCTCACAGTGTCCATGGTGTCTACTGCAGTCCTGCAGATGGAAATCCTATCCTGTTAACAGCTGGCTCAGACATGAAGATAAGGTACAGTGTCTTACAAATACTTCACATGTAAAACAGGGAAGGTGACTTTGGTTTATAAAATATGTTATTCTAGGCATTGATGACAATGTAATGTTTAAAGTCATCAAACCTTGTAAGGACAGCCATTAATGCTATGCTGTTGATTCTAGAAAAATTTTTTCCTGTTATCATTGCAGTGTGTATTTTCTGTGAGCCAGTAATTATTAACCCTTCCTGTTACCTTTTAGTGGTTATCACCATTTATTTCCTCTCTCCTAGGTTTTGGGACTTGGTTTCCCCAGAAAGGTCCTATGTGGTAGCGGGGAGCACTGGTTCTCCATCTGTGTCCTACTACAAGAAAATAATAGAAGGCACTGAAGTCGTCCAGGTATGCTACTTTCTATTTTTGTTTCTTTAAACTTTTGTAGGCACAGAAATGGTTTTGACCAAGACTTGTAGGGTTTCCTTAAAATTAAGAAAATGTTTGGTGTTCCTTGTTCTTTCTGTTTTTTGGGTTTTTTAAAATTTTACTTATTATTTTATTTTATGTGTATGAATGTATTCCCTGCATGTATGTAAGTGCACCCATGTCGTGGAGGCCAGAAGAAGGCATCAAATCCCCTGAAACTAGAGTTACACATGGTTGTTAGCTGCCATGTGGGTGCAGGGAATCGAACCCTGATCCTCTGCAAGAGGAACCAGTGCTCTTAACCACTGAGCCATCTCTCCAGCCTGGACTTTCTGTTTTATTATGATTTGGTGGGTGGAAGAGTTGGCATCATGACACAGCTTTGTGAGGTAGCTCAGTTCAGTGTTCCTGCTTTATCGCCTGTGCTGGGATCACAGGTGCATGCCATTCCCTCTCCCTCACTTTTGTATTTTTATCAAGGTATAGTAAAGTACACGTAAATGTAGCTCAGTGAACAGTAGGCATTTTACAAAGTTAAGGACTGAGAAATATAAAGAAGTGCTTTTATTTATTTCCTTTTACAAATGAGAAAGTTAGGAGCAGTGAGGTAATTTGTCCAAGATCACACAGCTAGTAAAGAGAAAACTTGGATCCAGAATTTTTCAGAAGCACTGTGTTCCTGCAGCACCTGGCCAGAGCAACTGCTCTATGATACATGCTTCCTTTGTGGCCAAGACTAAAGGCTGAGAAACGCCAGAACACCTGGTATCTAGTCTCCCATTCTGGGCATTTCACTTACTCAATTGTATTGTTTGATTTTTCCCTTTATGTTGATGTACCCAGAGAATACTGACCTATCTGTTAGTGGCCACTCGTGCAGTCTGATGGCTGGAAACCTAGAATGTCACTGTGCTCTGCTCAGGGTTTCTGCACGACAGTTTTACATGGGTGTTAACTTTCTAGACAAGAAGACTGACAACAGGTGGAATGGGCTATACATTTAATTCCCAGCCTTTTAAAACTACCCATTACACAGGAAATTCAAAACAAGCAGAAGGTGGGGCCCAGTGATGACACCCCGAGGCGGGGCCCGGAGTCTCTGCCTGTGGGACATCATGACATCATCACGGATATCGCCACCTTCCAGACAACCCAGGGCTTCATCGTGACAGCCTCTAGAGATGGGATTGTGAAGGTGTGGAAATAAACCTTCTGACTTGTACAGATTATTGTAGTTATATGTGTACCATAATAAAGGAGAAAAGGTGTTTCTAGAGAACAAACATGAAGACAGATTTATTTGCTTAGTTTTTAAAATAATGTCTATGTTGCTGTTTCATGACTAAACAAACCCCGCCCACCGTGGTTAGGGAAGTTGATATGATTAGTCTCTTCCTGAATCTCTGAAGAGTCAGCTAGCCAACGCTATCGGGGAGCTCTCATGTATGTTGGGGTGAGAAATGTAAAGAGAAAGAGGAATATGATGTCCAGTTTATTTTGTATTGAAAAAGATGCTTGTAAGCTATTATATAAACAATTTTGCTATTATAAATGCTATTCAAACCTGTAAGTAAACTATATTCAAGCATCCCATGAGTTTTGGTCTGTTTTGGGTAGTATTTTAAGTAACAGAAGCAAGGGGACAAACTCTCATGGCATTTGTTCTGAAGTGAAGAAGTAGACTGTCACTAGGAAGCAGTGCCAGAACTGGGCCGGGCTCAGCCCTCAGCCTCTCTGCTGCCCCTCAGCATGTCTTTGTTCCTGTTTTCCAATCAGCCTTGTTAACTGTTTAACACTGTAGCGCTGATTTCCTGTGTGTCAGCTCTAGAACAACATGGCTTTTCCTGGCCATCATCATTTTTATAGGTTCTACCATAACTTCTGTAACTTGACCCGTCAGCTTGCATTTGTCCAATGTAGATTATTTATGAAATGCATAAAAAGGCAAAAAAGGATCAAGCTAAAACCATGTCAAAACTTAGTATTTTTAAATTGCCCAAATTGGCCTTTCCTGTTGATATAAAACTTTCAAGCTAACAAACTGTTTGTATGCAGACTTCATTCTTTCCCTCCATTTTATTGTCATCTTTATAGAGGGTTTATGCTGTTTGGAATATTCCAGTTTGGAATTAGTTACCTGAGTGTAACCCCAAATAGCTGAGTAGATAACCTGAGTCTGAGGAGCATACCACTTGTTAAATGCACTAAATACACTTCATTTGTGTACGTACCTGTGTTCAGCTCTGTACTTCAACACACTTAGTTTTTGGATGGGTTAAACAACAGAATTCTTAAGAAATGCCAGTCATTCAGAAAGGTCAAGGCTGGTAGTAACAGGTCCTAACTAGACCACATCATAGCCTAGTGGCTTTGTAGACTTTGGAAGTTTGGCATGGCAAGCGCTGGCTTGTGGTGCCCATTTCCCTTTAAACTGAAAAGACTGTTATGATCAGGTTTCTGGCTGCTAAGTCCTCAGGTTGCATAGGTTGAAGAGAGTGTGTTTGGTTTGTTTGGTACATAAAGTATTGCATGGAGACTGGCTTTGGGCCTGGAGCCATTAGCTAAGCTGTGCACCTGAAAGCTCCGAGGAGAAAACAAAGTGAAAGATGGGCCTTTTCTCCATTTCCTTCTTACTGTCCGTTCCCCACGCCATCCCACAAATGGCCCACTTTGTAAAAAGGCTATTTCAAAGCCTTGGTACCATTGCAGTCTGATAGCATGTTAGGTTACATTTCTTTTTTACCTCTACTCCCCCTTCCCCCTTTAACAGATTTGATTCATAGCTCAGTGACAGATCCATTACAGTCGAAGCCAAGCAGCACCACTGCTCCTTGTGTGTGTGTTGACTTAAATACAGCCATATTAAATTTAGATTCATCTTAATTTTTTCTGCTTTCCACTTTTTGTAGAAAGAAGTCATTAAAGATACTGTTAGGAATATGGGTTGTTGTTGTTTTTAAGATTTTACTATTATGTGTCTGTGTGTATATATGAACATGTATGTGTGGGTGCCTGCAGAGGCCAGAAGAGGGCATTGAGGCATTGGCTCCTTTGGAGTTACAGGTGGTTCCACCAGATATGGGTGCTGGGAACTAAACTCTAATCCCCTGGAAGAGCAATAAATGCTCTTAACCACTGAGCCATTTCTCTAGTGTGAGAAATTTGGTGGATTTTGGGGGATCGGGGTTGATTTTTTGAGACAGGGTGTTCCTGTAGCCCTAGCTAACCTGGAGTTCATTATGTAGCCCAGACTGGCCTACATCTCACAGAGATTCTCCTGCCTCTGCTTCCCAAGTGCTGGGACTAAAGGTGTGTCCCCATCATGCATGGCCTGAGAAATTTGTTTTTAAAACGTGAACTATTTGCAACACTATTCAGACCCTTAACGTGTTAATGATTAAAAATATGACCCAAGATGCTAAAATAATTTTAATCACCAAGGGAACAGTTTGGTTTTTTGGGGGTGGGGGGTGTACTTTACTTTCCGACACAGAAAAAACAAATACATTTTCAAAGTATTTCCAACAGTAAACAAAAGGTGCCTGTGCTCAATCTAACATTAATTAGACACATCCCTGTTATTAAAATATCTCTTTAAGTGTTGCTCAGCACTTTCCTGTATATGAAACATGAAACTCTGCTGAGCCTCTAAGCACCATTTAGGATAGATGAAGAAGCCTAATGCACTCTGTTCTTCTGCTACCTGAGTATGAACTGACACTCCTTGGACGACTTGCTCCTCTGAAGATACTGAGAGCAGCCTCCGAGGAGTTGCCTGAGGAAGGATGGCAGGAGCGATTTTAGAAGGTATTGCACATGGCTCTTCCTTCCAGACTCCATGAGAGGAAGGAAACCCGGACATGCTCTACTGGTCGTTGGTGTCAGCAACCTCCTGCCTCACACACCCACATAGGGCTTGCTGACCTTCCTGCAGACAGCCGTGCTCCGGCAGGCAGAGCCACGCTGCCAACCAGGGAGCCAGCTGTAGACTGAGGTAAGAGCTGAATAGTGCCTCTAAATAAACAGTGCTAGTTTGACGTTTAGTTGATATCCCCATCCTAAGAGTGATGAAATGGGTGGAGACTTGGAGTCAACGCCGGCAGGGAATGCTGTTAGAGGCTAGGCTCTTTGAAGACTTACGCTCAACCCAGATGGATTTAGACATAGACTAAAAGGGATTTTCTGACCATTCCCAGTATTCATTCCCAGCTCTGTCAGTCCTGTTTGGTACTGCTTACTGTAGCTCAGTAGCTACCTGCCGGGGAGAAGGAACTCAGAGCCTAACCCACGACAAGTTGTATCTTTGCACTTTTTGGCTGAGGAATATATGGGTTGGTAAAAATTAGTAAGTGATCTTAACAAGGAAAAAAGACTAGAAATCCATTGAAATGGTTTGGCGGGAAGTGCTGTGATGAAGAGGGCACCAGCCCGAAGCAGTGGTTTATGTTCCTGGAGAGCTGATGGGTTTCTAGCTGACTTTAGGATTCCAGCTGGAGAGTTACTCTTTTTCTTACCAGCCTGGGCAAGAGGCAGCCTTCCAACACCAGCCCAGCTCAGGATGAGCCTGTCTATACAGACAGTACTGTGTGGAAACAGAAGTCACAAAGGTCAGATTTCCAAAAACATGGAATACAAAGAGCATCAGTTTCTAGGGCAAATGTTTGTGTGCTCCACAACATGAATGACCTTTGATTAAATAGATAAGTATTAAACACACTAAAAAGAAGGCTTGTATACAGAACAACAGAGAGCTGCAATCAAAAGAATTTGCATCGGTCTGTTTCTGACACACATGCACACACTATATGAAACCAACTTCAAATTTATGTCTCCAATAAACCAAAACACTTCTTTGATGCTTCCATCTTCTAATGGTACAGTTCTCAAACACATCAGTCTCAGAGTACTGGAATTGACAGATAAATGGACGAGATGTATCTTAGTACCATGAGTTCTGGGGTCACGTTACCTGTTAATCTACAGCTGGCAGTTTGTTCCTCCCTCCAGAGTGGCTGTCTGGAGGCGGGTCAATATCTGAGTCAAAGCTGCTCAGAGTTCTGGAGTGAATTTGGTTATTTCTGACCTTGTTTCTTTCTACGGCTAAACTCTGAGCACTTCTTTTGTTATGTTTGGAAGTCACCTCTATCTCTCCTTTTCCATTTTTAAAGGTGTAGAATGTGTTTCTGGAAAAATTTCGAATAGCATCTCTGCCACCTCTTGCTACATTTGAAAGATATTTTTTATCTTGAAAGAATTTCGCCGCCTCTAATGCATCTTTGAGGGCCGCTTTCTGTGGTCCAGGAACAAAGCTATACAACAAAAGAAGAGAGTATCATTTAAGGCAAATGCCACTCCAATTCAGTAGACTCCACATTAATCCTTTCTCCTAGATCGTCATACCCATTTCCTTATCACATCCTCTCCCCAGGGTGAATTTTTAACAGTTAATAAGCTGGGGGTTTACATTGGTCCATATATCAGAAGCTGGTAAATGAGACATCTTGTTAAAAGAGCACAGCAGAATCATTCTGACAGCAATCGTTCTTTATGGAATGTGGTGCACTCAGATCATGTGGGTGGCCTTCCTAATTATTCAGATTCGTGCCCAAATGGTGCATTATTATACACTACCTCATTTGTCAATTTTCGTGTTCCACTCACCCTGCCACTCAGTCCGACATGCTTTTATTTTCTTAACACTTAACAGTCTGAACTTTTACCTACTTATAAACAACTCCATGCTTCTACCTACCCAAGGTAAGTTTCACGAGACACTGTCTAACACATAGTAATCCAAGTATTTGTCTAATGAAAGGATGGTTGGATGCTACCTTGCACCTGTCCAACTATTCAAGGGTTAATTACCTGCTCTGTGAAAGGTACTCCATTGGGTCCAGTGTGGAACACAGAAATAGGGCCGTCTGACAGGTGCATAAAAAGCCTTGGAGTTCCGAGTAACCCAAGTTGAGCTGGAACAACTGATAGATATCCTTGAGCCTAGCTACCATGTGTTCTGTTGGGGACAGATGAAGTACGGTTGTGGGAAACAAGGTGCAAAGAAGCAATCAGGTTAGAGGCAGACCTGGGGCTGTGTGCCAACTTTTCAGAGACTGAGTTCAATGTTACACTTACTGAACTAGGTTTTTGCTCAGAACGTAAAAAGTTAAAAATACTTGGACCAGGAAGTGAAATGGTACATGCCGCACTGTGGAAGCATCTGGATATGGGTCCAGAACCACTGGAAGGCAGGTAGTTAGGGTGGCTGGACAGCAAAGAAGATATGAAACCCATGGCCTGTAGCAGACACTTCATAAGCGATTGCAGAATGAATTCGTCACAGACTTCAGCAATTAGCTGAACTGTGGTCAAGGGAGGATTCCAGAAAACTTCAAAATGTCAAGATCAGGAGAATAGTGGGATTATTCATCGTGGTCCATTTCTTTAGACTTCTACTTTACTGGCTATAAAATAAACCCCACTGACAAACATCACTATTTAGAAAATGAGTGCAATGGGAAAGTGTAGACAAATGCAGAATGATTTCTCTCATGCACACACATCCCCTTCCCTCACCGCACACACTTGTTTTGCATCTATGAAGGGTGAAGCGGAAGGAAGAAAAACAAAGACCACCCTGCCACTCACATTACAAACACTGCCTGGGCTCCTGAAACTCAGCGCACTATGTGTCTCGGTTCCTTCTACCTGTGCTCTCTGGGATGTCAAAGTTGACCAAGCTTCTGGTTATGAATAGCAGCCATGGCTAAGTGTTAGTGTCAATACGATCTCCTTACATCTAGCCCCATTTTGGCTCTTCCCTGTGTTGATTTCCACACTGAATATTATGAATTCAATTCTACAGAGTCATGAGTTGTCTATGTGCACAGAATATGACTTTACTGACCATGGGGAAGGGGATTTTTCTGAGTCTAAGGTGCACTGCTCCTGTTGTGTTCAGTTCCCCCTCTCTTTTGCCCCTTCCTTTCCTTCTTTTTTTAAAGTCATGTTTAGTTATCCTTGTTAAGAAAAAAAAAAAAAAATCGTTAAATTGACAACTACTTCTAAGCCCTTGGATCTTTTTTTCCTCAAAAGCATCAAACGTGTTAAACACCTTATCTTTGGGTTTTCTAAAGGTTTGTGTGTGTGTGTGTGTGTGTGTGTGTGTGTATGAGCCCTGGGGATGTACATATGGAGGTCAGAGGACAACCTAGCTGTGGGTCCTCAGGCACCTTCCACCCTCTGAGACAGTCTCTCATTGGCCTCGACTCTGCCACATAGGCCAGGCTAGCTAGCCAGTGAGATTCTAGGCCCTGCCATACTGACTTTTTATATGGGTTCTGGGAATCCAAACTCAGGGCCTGAATGCTTGCAAAGCAAGTGCTTTACCTACTGAGCTATCTCCCCAGCCCATGCTATGTCTCTGAATTTCCATGTTCTCACTGTGTTATAGGCAGGCATTTGAATTGGGTAAGCATTTAATAAGAATTGCTTGATTACCCACACTCATTTCTTTCTTCTCTATATTGTGTCAGTAATCCTTCACTGATTAGTTAATTCTAACAGCCAGCTTTCAAGACAGAGAAACAAGGGGGAAAAATTCATTTTCTAACTTGTGCCAAATTCCAATAAGGCTTTTAGAACAAAAGATGGGGCACATTCTAAATAAAATGGGGTGTGTGGGGGGAATAACTACATTCCAGTTCTCTCTGGTCACAGATTTCTTGCATCTTTGCAGATAATCAGGAGGCAGCCATGTTACATGAACTGACTGGAGGCATTGCAGTAGAAAATGCAGAGAGGGTTGCTTCTTTTTCCAGAATTCTTTTTAATGCTAATATATGTTTTGTGTGTCCAGGAAATGTACTTTGGAAAGCAGAGCTGCAGCAGATGTGGCATTCAGATGACAGTGGTGACTGCCCATTTTTACAGTTCATCCCTTCTGGCTCTGCCTGTCTGCTTAGAGTCTGGCACAAGTGCCTTCCTGACTGGCTGCAGCAGGTATGCAGCGGCTTTCTGTCTTTCATTATCTCTGAGCAGATCTAAGTGCTTACACAAAGGTGCAGTCTCATCCTCTGGTCATCTGTGTCCTTGGTTGCTTCTGCTGAGACTCAGCTCCTTTCTTTTCCATTTGCTAAGAACCAGCTTCTGCGTGTTTTCCTCAAAGCCCTGCAGCAGAATGATGTCATTCCTATGCAGGTCATTCTTAGGATGGCAGGTCATCTATCTGCCCAGACCTTCTACCTAGCAGGCATTCCCTCCCCCACAATCCTGTGTTCCCTTCTGCCTTGCTTCTCTTGAAAGGCCCAGGCAGGGAGTTTCAGAAGCAGCTGTGTGACTGTTACCTTTTATTACAGTCTTTGGTTACTTAGAGAAGGCCTGGGGAGCCCCCGATTATTATACCATCAGGGAGTTCACATAGAGGTATGGACTTCATGTCTCAATTCCTGGATGCCCCAGCCATTTGACCATTTCAGAGTCACAGAAGGAGCTGAAGCTCTATGTAACTAGGGTGCTGTGAAGGAGAAATTCCCCATCCCAAAGCCCTATGGATCTTCTCTTCCCACTCATGTTGCTCTTCAAACAGAAAAGTGTGATGGGAATGGATTCCAGAAATGCCTCTTGATGTGCAGGTTGGTGATGGCATCAGCCTCTGCAGTCTGATGTGACTCATGTATGTGAAGCCCAGTGAAAAATGGAAATTGAAGCCCCTGGGCCAAAAAGCAGAATAAGAGCTTTTCTTCAGTGGGCTTTCACTCCCTCTCTCTGTGCCCATGAAGGCTTTTAGTTTGTCTCTGAATGTTGAGCTCCTCTGGCATGGGGACCCTGCTCCACGACAGATGCCCAGATGAGCCCCTTTCCTCAGATAGCTATCCTAACCCCTAAAAGAGGGCAGTCCCCCCAGATATCATCACTTCATTGCTGGGAAACACTGAGTACTTAGGTGGAGATGGGCAAAAGACAAATATATGGATGGCACTAGCCTGGGTAGACGGGTCCAACACTGCCTGACCCCAAGCTTCCCATGAGGTGTGGGGTGGGGTGCAGAACCAGATGGTGCCAAGTCACTGAAATGGGTCCTAAAGAGGCAGCAGTAGGTAAATGGTAAGTGAATGGGGGGCTCCAAGCCCCCAGTAAGTGCTTTATTTGCCTTTTGTACCTCACACTGAAAGTCCAAATTCAGCAGTAACCATGGCTGTGGCGTGAATGGAAATCCAGAGTTCCCTGAAGCTGTCTGTCTGTCACACCTGCCTTACAACATCCTCCACACCAGGTGCCGGCCTCACCAGTCACACCCCCAGAGTCCCAATTCCCTCTTCACCGTTGCCAGGCACCTGCAGCAGGGGGAGCCCTGCTCTTCTTGGAGGCTTCACCCGCTGTTTCAGGCCCAACTTCAGGAAGCGTTTGCTGCTGGACAGTTCCCCTGGACCGCTCAGTGTTAGGGCGAGCAAGAGGCTCCAGGCAGGGGTGCTTGGGCAGCTAGACTGGGACTGCCCGCTCGGCCCTGTCTACCACACAGAAGTGTACACACTGTAGGAGAGGCACACTGCCGAAGGTGAAGTGAGCTCAGGAGCTGGTGCTTTGTTATAGTCAGTGGCTCCGTGTGTGCGTGCGTGAATGCGTCTGCGTGTGTCCTTCAGAATGATTTACCATAGAAATGTGTCTGTTTTCATTTCTTCCTAAGTTACAAGCACATATGATTCTCCCCTGACAGAGCAGTGAAGACTACAAACGTTACTAAATCATGATTTCTGCTGTATTCAAATTTTACAAACAACTTTTTTCCTTCCTTCTTTCTTTCTTTTTCTTTCTTTCTTTCTTTATTTCTTTCTTTCTTTCTTTCTTTCTTTCTTTTGAGACAGTCACACTATGTAACTCAGACATTCCTGGAATTTGCCATCCTCCTGCCTCCTTTAAGGTCAAGGATTGCTGTCATGTACCACCAATGCCCAGCTGACACATAGCATTATGATTATTTTATCATTTAAGTATTTTAAAAAATTTCCATTGATTTTTTTTCTGGTCTCATATCTGGAAATATGATTTTAATATTAAACATAGTCTCTAAAAATCTTGTTATAAACTTCTAATTTAATTGGGCTGTGTTTAGATGGGGTGGATTATAGAATACTAGGTCCTAAAGATTCATTGGCATTTATTCCATATGCTCAAACATGTAGGAACCCCCATAAATGCTCCACTTCCACTTGATAGTTTTTAACCTCCCTCCTTCCTAGTTCTTCAGATGAACACCCAATTTTTTGGCAGGGTACTATATGTGTTTATTAAAGCAAGTTATTTGTATTGAAATATTGCATTTACTAGTTTTTGTCTGACTGACCTATCAAACTGGTATACTGAAATCTCTAGTGTTGAAGATAGTTCAAAGGCAATTTTTTTCTGTAGTTTTCCAATTTCTGCTTTATGGATTTTAAGGTTATTTTATAACCCGCATAGAAATTTAGGATTGTTTTATCTTCCTTGTGAAAATTTTTTCATCATGTGGAGATATCCCTACAAAATGGTTTTATTTGAAAGCACATTTTATTTTATTTCAATACAGCTATTCTAGTTTTCTTTCAAAAATATTTGCTTGGTATGTTTTTTTCATTATTTTTCTTTCAACTTTCCCATTTCCTATGTTGTGGCTGTGTCTTTTGAGAACAGATGAAGCTGCATATCACTTTGTTTTAAATCACTCTCTTATTGTAACCAGCATATTTAGTCTTTGTATTTTTATTGTGGGTGTATAGTTAAGTGGAGACTCTGCTTTCTTACTTGATGGCCTCTACTTATCACTTCTTGCCTTTAAACTTTCTTTCCTTTCTTGGCTTTTTATTTTAAAAGAACACTTATTGTATTGCTATTTATTTTTATCCCATTTCTCCCTTGCTATATTTTTAGTAGCTATTTTTTGTTTTGTGCGCCCTCAGAATTTTTACTGCATTTCTGGTTTTTGTTTGTTTTCTGAGATGGGGTCTCCCTGTAGCTGCAGCTGGCCTGGAACTCACTATGTAGACCAGGCTGGCCTCAATCTCACAGAGATCTGTGCCTTTGCCTCCCAAATACTGGGGTTAAAGGCATGTGCCACCACGACTGGCCTATTTCTAGTTTTTTTGGGAAAACTCCAGACTGATTTCCAAAGTGACTGTACTATTATTTGATATCTATTCTTATATTTAAATAATTAGTAAATAAAAATACGTATTAGTAGTTGTGGTCTTAGTGCAATTGTTTATTCTGTTAGAACTACTAGGTAGCAAATACTTGATTGTCACATCTTTGTTACCAAGTATAGCTATCTTGTACCTCCACAAATTAAATGTTGCCACTATTTAAAAATTTGGGGGGCAAGTGGTAGAGAATTTTCTAGCATGCATGAGGCCCTGGGTTACAGCTCCAGAACCCCCCAAATAAACAAGTAAAACATTAAAACACATTTGCGTAGATTTACCTAAATACTGATAGATTTTATCATTCACTTACTTTTTGTATCCTATTCTTTCTGTGTCCGTATTTCTTTTCCTTGAAGTATATACAAGTTCCTTTACTAAAGATCTTTTGGTAAATTATTTTTAAAATCTGAATTCTTTTGTAGTATACTTTTTGAAAGATAATTGTTCTAAGTTGATGCATATTTTCTTGCATTGCCTTGGAAATGCCCAGCGGTCCCATGGTCTCTACTCAGCAGCCAGCCCCATGGCGGTTTCTTTGCAGATGACATACATGGTCTTTCTTTCAGCTGATTCTAAGTTTTCTTTATCTCGGTGTTTGTTCTGCCTCTCCAAATGCTGCTTTCTTGGTGTTTATTCTGCCTGTTCTATTTTGTCTTCTCTTCATCTGTGAACTCTTTCTTTCATGGGTTTTAGGAAATAACCATTCCTGTCTACCTTGGACCCTGTCTCAGGTGTTCCTGTTTTCTCTTAGAATCCCTGTTTGATGTTAGACTTTCCCACTCATGTGTCTCTAGACTTCTTGTGGCAGTCATTTCCGGCTTCTGAGTGAATTCTTCAGCTTTTCCCAATTCATTACATTTCTCTTCAACTAGATCTATTACTGCATTCAGTCCTTCACTGAGTTTTATTTGAAAAATCGTAAAGTTTACAAAAACATAAAAAGCCTGCCCATTTCACTCAGACTCTTCCCCCACTGCCACTCTGTATTTGCCTGCGTCTATATACGTAATACCTATATGTGCACACTCACCATCCTAATTTCCCTATGGAGTGCTGGGGAGGTGATTCAGCAGGTAAAGTCTGTTGCTATGCAAGCATGAATACCAGAGGAGATCCCTGGAACCCTTGTGAATGCTGGGTGGGTACTACAGCAGCCCACCTGTAATTCCAGCCTGTGGGAGGCAAAGCCAGGGAATTCCTGGAGCAAGCCTGTTAGCCAGACTAGCTGAAACAGCCAGTTCCTAGTTCAGTGAGAGAATCTGCCTCAATATATTAATGGAGATCAGTCAAGGAAGACACTTGATATTGTCCTCAGCTCTCCACACATGCACACACGTATACATGCACTGTGTGCCCATACACATGCATGCATGCACACCGCAAACATACATAGGCAAAAAGTAAAAAAGAAAAACCATATGAAGGTAGACTGTAACCACCATACCCATTACTCTTAAATGCATTAGCACACTACTCTTAAAACAAAGACATTTCCTTATATGCACACGAGGAAACTCACACAGTTGAATAACTGCATCCAATATATTGCCCACACTCAAATCCCCAAGCCTCATTTATAACAGCTCATTTTTTTTTTCTGATCTGAGATCCAATCAGAGCTCACAGAATAGCATTCTGTTCTTTTTCTTTAGTTTCTCTGACCCATATCTCTCTATTTTCCATGACATTTGACCTGTGATCTAACCTTTGACATCCTGGGACTCATTTTAAGAACTTGTTTTTGTCCTTTTGACAGAATACTGTTGATTTCTGAGTATTTTCTTGCTTCCTGGAATAACAGTTATCACAGGCTGGCCTGGGACTTTCCTTGCCGCAGCCCAGGTATGTCTAAGGAACCAAGAAACCCCAGTTCCTTTGAATGCAGAATGCTATTTAGAAACGAAGATCTGGCCATTGGGCATGCTAATGGCCACTGGGGTGTCCCACCGGGTGTTTTATTTCAAAAATTAGACTTTCTATTTAAAAGGAAAAACAAACAAAACCACCTCTATTTGGTTATTTCCAAATCAGCTTGGTCATTTAAAAAATATCTCTTGTTCCTTAAATTACTTTTTAGTATGCAGCAAGAGCTTTTGATTTAAATAAAATAGAGGAGGGAAGAGAAGCAGAAGAGGAGGATAAAACAGAGACTAAGCAGGGAGTGTGTATTCATGTAGAAAAGCACACCAAGCACACAGTACCTTTGAAACTGGCGTGGGGACAGCTTTGGATCTGCAGGGCTGAGTCTGTTGCACTTTGCTTTGAAGTTGATGGGAGGATATTTGTTTATTGCTCCTAGGAAGAGAAAAGGCTATGTGAGGCTCTGTTCTCTACAGCATCACATCAGTTCCCAATATCCCTCAAAAGATGGTCATAGGAGATGAGAGCTGTCTCAGGAAATCCCTGAAACTGAGTTTGGAAAATAGGTCTCCTGAATGTACAGCTTAAGTCAGCTAACTTTTCACTAAGATATCTTTAGCTACTAAGGTTGTTAGTCATTATAAAAAATAACACAAGCCAGTCCTAATGATCTTGCCTTTAATTGATATGAATTAATTAGAACAATTTTTGTTTGTTCCTTTAGAGTATCAAAATTCAAAGAAAAAAGGATTTCTCTTTATAGTCTTTGTGTTAGTAACAACATAAGTGCCTTTTGGTCTTAATTCGTTAGTGTCTCATTTCATTTGGAAGCATATTAAGTTTTCATAATAATAAAGCATGGCTCATACCATTAAAATGTATAATCTACTTTTTATAGAAAACTTTAAAATGATATATATATATATATATTATATATATTATATATTCCTAAAGGGTTAAGTCAAATAGATTTGTTAAACAATTCAATCTGTCTGGTAAAGCCAGGCATGGTGGCATGCCCTTGTAATCCATTGCTGGGGAGGCAGCCAACCTCACCTACTTGGCAGGCTACAGGCCAGGTGGACAGTGCCTGAGAAACAAGACCTGAGGTTGTCCTCTGACCGACACACACACACACACACACACACACACACACACACACTCCTCTTTCTATAGGGTCTTTACTAGTAGCAGTTTTGTCCTAGGCTGTACCACAGCACATCTTCAGAACCACTGTTACAGGAAGGGCTGTGTACTCTGGACTGAATGGCCTAAGACTGTGACAGACCCAAGTTTTTTTTTTTTATTTTTTAATAACTACATGATTAGAAGAAGCATTTCATTATAGCTTTAACATATTCATTCAGTAACACACTTCAGAGCAAGAGTACATCGCTTTCACAAGTGGCCGTAAGTTTCTAGGTTCACAATTGAAGTAATACAGTAATACAATGTTGAATTCAGGATAAGCCCTATAAGACATAAAATTGAATGAGTTTTTAACCTTTAAAAAAGATCTCCATTTCCTTTTAGAATATATTGTTCCTTGCAGAAAGGCTCATTGTTTTTGCTACTAACACTGAGATGTTGGCGCATGCATC